AGAGACGGGCCAAAAATAAATAGATGTACAGCATCTGTCACTTGTATGTCACTAGCCGTCAGTCCTGCAACAAACACTGCATAAAATAAGCCCTGCATGTGGGTCCTATATGCCAATCAGGAATTTAAGTTCTTTCTTCCGAGACCTCAGCCAGCTGCAGACACCAACAACCTGAACACGCTGCATTCATCTTCTCTCCGTCCACATGGGGTTTAATTTGTGACAATAACGGCTGCACGGTGTGATTTCTTTTAACTGACGCTGGTCTTCGGCGGGACGTCCTCACGGAGCTACTTGTTGAGGCGTGTTGAGATTGAGCACAGCTGCCAACTCTCACGCCTTCGCCGGGTGGCACACGGCGTTGCATGTTCTCACGCCACGCATCCAATCGTCACGCAAAGAGAGTCTGATTGTGGCCCGAGAGCGTTGGTTCCTTTGGTGGAGCGCGTCACCCTACTGCTGCATGGACGCGCTTCTCACAGCGGACGGCCTTACCAGCTGACTAGCAGGTTTCCTTTTCATTTAAAATGAAAAGTGTATACATATAGAACGGAGCACCGGATTAAATTGATTCAAATAATTAGGGTCAGAGTTGTTGTACAGTTGAAGGTTTGTGTTACATCACACTGCATCTGCTTCATAGGAGGTTGTATACAGTAACAACAAAGCGTTGATATTTTACTCATTGGTTGGTGACTTAGGGGCCGATAGTCAGAGTACAGTTAGATGCACGTCACTAATGAAAGAGAAAATGTACCTGAAGCTCATCTGTGTCTCTGCATCAACCGATTAACCTCACAGCATTGGATGTATCCGACTAACACGCCTGGAGAACTCCGTCCGATCCGGTGGATAGTTCGACTACTGCGGCATGCGGCGGTGGATCGGATGAGGAACTGGACTTGAGATCCCGACGGCGTCTTCTCTCCGTTATCAAATCAGCCGATAGCGCCATTCGCACTCGCTGTGCTCCTGTTAGCATCACGCACACATAGTAGAGGGATGTAGCTTCACCTCGCTCTCCGCTCGCCGTCTTTCTCCTAATGTTGTTGTTGTTGTTGTTGTTGGTAGTGGTGAAGAGGTCAAGCGGAAATGGCTGCACCACAACTCGTTGTAATGAAAACAGCGCCACCTGTCGTATTGGATATGACGTGCTTTCTGCCAATGATTGGATTCATTCACTGTCGTGTATATTAAGATAATAACACCTCCCCCCGAAAGAGAGCGTAGTCCCACTAAGCAAAGACTCCAGTTACACCATCATGTAGCGTGTGCTCCATCTCCCGTCCACGCCGTCGGGCCCCCATGGGTCCACCCAGAGTCCATCCCTATTCCCTGATGTTGGAGCCACCACACATGAAGGCCACGGACCAGGTCTCACTCCAGGGGGGTTCTGACAAATTGGCACCTCTGCATTGAGTCACGGTTATAACTTTATAACAGCAATGAATAACGCACAACACTAACCGGATAAAACACCACAACAGCTGGTGACACATAAACAATTTGTGACACTAACCAGAAAGTTCTGCAGTCATTGTCACAGTGTGGATGTGCATGAAAGGGCCCAGCAGGCGAGTGAAGACCAGCCACTGAGGCTAGCGAGCACACGACCCATTGCCTCTGGCCGCTTGTCAGCAGTTGGGTCCTGTTGCTGCTAGCGCCACGTTAGCATCACGCTAGCTCGATAAAGCGATGGCGTCACAGACCAGGTTACCGTCAGAGTCCTGGTGAGTCCACAGCGCACAGACCTACTAGAGCGCCACCAGGGATTGGTCTTCATTACCAACCGACCAACTATGAGAACAATTGAAGGTTTGTCACCGTTTCTCTATAGAAAGTATCATCATCATCCTTCATTTAGTCTTATTTATGTGTTGGTACAGACCGACAGCACTACGGTCTGAACCTACGGATTCATTCATTCAGAAACGTTTCTTATTTGGGGACAGAAGCCGACATCCTTCTACATTTATGTCTTGCACATGGTTAGCCTAGCTTAGCATAAATGCTAGGGGAAAACAGTGGTTAGCTGCACTGACGGAGAAGTGAAGGTGCTGCAGTGTCTTACACCTGCATTCTCTCTAAACGCCACCGGGGGGCGTTCCTGTTACTGTAGACGACTAGAAACTGACAGCTTCTCTTCATTTATTCCCTCAGTGAACATCGGTAACACGAGCTCAAGGTCTCAACATTCTTCTTCAATACAGCCTGGTCTTCATTTAGTACACTTAGGGTCAAATAGACCCCGCAGCAGGGCGGGGGTCCCTCACCCGCTATCCAGACGTGGTCACTTCTGTTTACTGGCTGCTAAGAGGGCAACAGCCAAACTTGAGGCTCAGTACTGTCGTCCACAAACCACCATAGCCCCTTTTCTTTGGGGTGGGTTCCATGTAGCCCCTTTCCTGATTCCTGATAAGATGGAGGGTTGCACTGCAAAGGTAACTTAAACAAAAACAGATGGCTACTGCTTCTTGATTATTCCATGGAGATCCGCTCCAGCGCCTACGGGACCCTGTGCAGGCTGCACTGAGGGCCCTGCCTCCCATTGAGCCAGCAGAGCTGCAGCTCGTAGTGTGCGTGTGTGTGTTTTATGGTCCTGCGTGTCACTGCAGGTGGATGAAAAAGGGTCAGACGCTGAGATTGGAACGCTGTCCAATCAGTCAGAGACAGACACACACACCTTATTAACCAAGCTCAAGGACCACTGACCTGGCAAACCATGTCACAGGGGGGACGGATACCAACATGAATCATAGGAAGGAGTCACATGGTGACGTCCCAGAGCAAAAACAGGGACAGGAGGACAAGAGGACAGAGGACAGAGGACAGTGCGACGTAAGGCCACGACAATGGAAACGCAGCTTTCCCTTCACGCGTGCATTCAACCCAAAACAAACATCCAGCTGCAGTGGGAGGGGCTCCACGGCAGCGGTTACGGGACGCGGTGGGAGGGGCCCCAGCCGGCCCGTCCCCCATGTTTATTCACCACTGCTCCGTTACAAAAGGTGAGAACCTAAGCTACCCATACCGAACGTTTACCCAGAGGCCAGCGCGTGTTTCTGCGTCTACGTCGACGCCCTCGTCTCACTTCCTGGTTGTAAAGTCTTCGATTCACCTCCAGAACAACAGGTGGAGTCACCTGTTTTGTTGAAGACGACCTAGAGCAGGGGTCTCAAACTCGCGGCCCGCGGGCCAATTGCGGCCCTCGGGACGATATTTTGTGGCCCCATCCTTAATATGAAAGTGTAATGTTAGTGCGGCCCGCAAGTTTTATACTGTAACCCCACTGTCAGCTGCTGTGTGTGATGTTCTGGTTTCCTACTGTGTGCTTGTCCAGTGAACGTGGCATGCATGTGACTGACATGGGGGCGGGTCGTGTGTCGGCGAGGTGCAGAGAGCAGGAGGGTGAAATTCAGTTTCCTGCCCTCTTTCGCGCAGGTGATCATGTGACTAACCGTTAGCATCGCTCGTTTAATAAAGTTTTCCTTTACGACTCACACTAACAACACATGAAGCATCTGACGTCACCGACGAGCGACTCCGTCCATTACTACGCAGCTTCGATTCACGTAACTTCACGTTTGGCTATAAAGGAATTCCACGGTCACATGACCTTAGGTCTCCCCCGCTGAGTTAAAGGAGGACTAGTGTTGTAGTCTCATTGGGACCGATCCCCCAGGGTGGGGTTCAATGACTGCTTTTGAAAGGGAGTGTTAAGTTGTGTTATTGTCGACCATGCCGTTCGGACGCTAGTCTGGCCCGCGTTCGGTTGAAGTGGGCTGCATCTGGCCCGCAGCTGATTTGAGTTTGAGACCCCTGACCTAGAGAGTCACGTCTTTGTGTGTGGAAGTCGCTGGTTGCTTTATTTATTGATCATAGACTTTATTGCCCCGTGCATCCACACTGCTGCTTTTCATCAAGGACACATTTGTCCCGTATTTTCCTCCACTACTTTGTTCCCTCGTTGGTGGAGATCTCCCTCCATGAATCAGAGGCCGTCCGGCGTCCTCATAGTCCGCCAATGACGGCTTGTACAAGCGCTCATGTTTAAAAGCTCTTCAGTCTGATCCGTTCTCCCGTCAACATTCGTCCTTTTAATAACGGCCGTATCGTGCTGTGAAAACGGAGACGTGAGACTCCGTAAAGGACACAGTCAGAGACCAATCACAGGAGGCTGCGTAGCTTTTGAAGCTACAAGGGACGACACGCAAGGGGGTCCTGCATCCGCGTGAAAACGCAGAAGCATAAACTAGGCTTAACCGTGAACCTTGACCCCAAATGACCCAACCGGTAACCACAGCTTAACATTAGCCTGAGGACACCACAGGTCACAGCCCACTTCCCTGTCCACCCCGTCCCACTGCAGGTGGTCCAAGGGGGCTGCGCAGCAGTGTGTTCAAAGGGGTTCTGCTGATTGTATTCATGAAGCCTTCAGAGGCTCCACGTGAGGCTCTGATGAAACGCCTCAAACGCTTTGGATTTGCCGGATGCTTCGGCCCTGAAGCACACGCTGCTTTAAGGTGGGTTTGACTCTAAGTGAACATCGCGCTGTATTGAAGAAGACTCGTGTTTACGGAGGGAAAGGATCAAGCGAGAGGTAGTCACCTTCTCACAGACTCTTGGTGGACAGCGCCGAGGACGTAGCATGAAGACACTGCTGGTTATGACCCAACTGTGACCTTCAACACACGGACAAACGTCCTAACGCCTGCTGACAGTGGGTGAAAACAGAGCTGTGTAGAGAGACGATCCCATGTGAAACAGAAGAACTTACGGAGAAGACAACGTCGTAGTCGGCTTCAGTGAAAGGCGAGTCCGCCAGGTCCTCCAGGTAATCGCTCAGGGCGTCCAGCGTCTCCTCGGCCAGCTCGTCATAGGCGCCTTCAGACAGCTCGCTAGGAGAGGACGACACGTTAGGCCCGAGCGCTGAGCTCCACACAGAGCGGTGACGAGCAGGTCACCTTATCGGCACGGGGGTGGCCGTCTCCAGCCTCAGCGCTGACAGGTGGATGTTCTTCCTCCATCTGACGCCATCAACTCTGCTCTCCAACCGCTGACGGACAGCAGGACTCGGTTATCATCTCAAGGTCTCATTTGCTGCTACGTGCACATTCATTTAACTTGTCATTCATTCTAACGTCACCGGTCTGATCCGGGGAGCCGGTGACGTCATGTATACACACTTCTGAAGTCCGGAAGCACAACTTACTTTGTTTTCGGCTTGACAGGCGGGATGCAGCGCGCGCGAGGTCAACGGACGAGCCCCCGTCACGTGAGACGAGCACCCGGGCTGGAATATTAAATAACTTTAATATGAAGGTCCACACAAAGCTGCGGTATGTTACATAAAACCCAGCGCTAGCTTGCTAGCGTGCTAGCGTGCTAATCCTGGCCGCGTCAGCGGTTACCTGCTTGAAGAGGTTCCCCGCGGCCTGCGGCCGCAGCGCGGGGACCGCAGCGAGGTGACGCCTCACGCGCCCAGTAAATACAGCGCGTTCTCGTGAAGGAAAACATGGCAGCACCGCGCAGGAGGAGCGCTTCACCCCGTGTGTGTGTGTGTGTGTGTGTGTGTGTGCGTGTTCTCAACGCTCCCTGGCCGTACTGCCACCTGCTGGACGGAGTGCGAGGCGCTGCTGCTTCTTCTTCTTCTTCTTCTTCTTCTTCTTCTGCTTCTTCTTCTTCTTCTGCTTCTTCTGCTTCTTGGCGGGTTACAGCGATAATAGCGTATACCGCCACCTACTGTTCAGGCGTGTGCAAAGGGATTCATGTCAAGGCTAGACTAAGTTAAATAAATAGATAAAATAAAAAATATATATCGTGCGTAGCTCTTCTTCTTCTTCTTCTTCTTTGGCTCAATGTCTCCCCATGAGCCCTGAACCTCCAGGGACTTCCTGACGTCATATATTAAGAGGCTGAGAGTCAGTGAGGGCTTTAAATGATGTAAATATGAATGGGACAGTCTGAACACACGTGTGCCGTCCTCTTTGTGTACCTCTTTTATGTCTCCATGCTCCCAGTGGTTCTGTTTTTAACATCAGGCCTCTGCCAGAGAGCATCTAAGAGGCCCTCAGGGTGCAGATTGGGATTGGGCCGTTACCTTTCTTTGGTCCACTTCAGTTTTTTTCCATTCATTTAAAAATATTTATTTATTTCCAGGATATAGCCCACAGCAGATCATGTCAGAAGAAAAAAATATATTACTCAAAAATTCTTTGTTTACACAGTGTGTGTGCAGCTGACCTTTAAATCTCACTGAGCTTTCAGTCTGCAGTATGAATGAGTGAATCTGATCTTTATCTTAACAACATTAGCGTACTAAAGAGGAGATAAACCCCTGAATATATTTGATTCACGGGTAGATGAAATGCAGCGCTCTGATTGGTTGAGAGTGACGGGGTTTGCGTTATTCAGTGATAACGTACAGCTGCTGTTCACATTGACCCCAGCGTTCAGTACCACTGCTCACTCACAGTAACCGTTGGATTCATCGTGACCGTTAGTTGACATTTTAGCTTTTAGCTCGGTGCCGATCGGCGAAAAACCCCAGAAACACCACAAATGATGGATTTGATGGGTATGATGGGTTTGATGGGTTTGGTGGGTATTATAAAGTATTAATTATTATTAAGTAATTATTATTAAGTAATGAAGGTACTTGGAGGGTTCCTATCAATGCCCCTGATCTGTTACATTATTGGACGATAAAGAACACCCTCTCGTACCTTATTGCTTAAATATACAGTATAAAGGTGACATGAAGTCTACCACAAAATACAAAACAATCAGGGAACACAACAGTAACAGAAAAGAAAAAGAAAAAAAGACCACAAGGAGACAAAAACAACTATCAACAGATCAAGAGAACAGAGGCAAAAACCCACCAAGAATAAGATCAAAACCAACACCAAGAGTCTTCTTCTTTGAGTTCTCCAGTGCCTTCAACACCTTCTGAGGGCCAATCCTGGACCATCTCACCAACCGTCCACGTAAGGTCACAAGACGCGTGAGTCGGACCTGGGGTCCCGCAGCATTGGGACCCCACGAGGGTCCGTCCTGGCTCCATTCCTCCTCCCCATAAACGCTCACTTCAGACTTCAAACAGAACTCAGCTAGCCGAGTTGTGCTGGGGGTCCGCTGGATACGGCGGAGGAGGTGGGAGACAGGAGGAGACAAACCGTCGTCATATCTCATGGTATTATTGGGATGTTTTTCTCTGTACACCTGAAACAGGCAGGAAGCCGACGTCAGCGCGATGCACAGAGCGCTGTGTGTTCAGCAGGCCCTCCTCTGACACTGGTCACCATGTGCAGCCGCCGGGCCAATCACTGCTCTCCCAGCTGGGCAGATGGGTCGGCCTTCCTCTGATTGGCCGACAGCATCTCTGGTGAGGGGCCGAGCACCAGTGGATCGGCGGTGTTAGGCTGGATTTGAATAGTGAAGAAATGACCTCCTAACGTCTGTTCCTATCCACGATTCCAAAAGGAAGGACGCTTAGGAGAACTCATGAGGATGTAGGAAAGGGGAGCAGCTATAACGCGTCTCCTGCATCAGAACTACGTAGCTCAAGAGCCGGATCCCTTAAACACAGAGGTTTCCTTTCCCTAACTCCTCAAGAACTCTCCTCACCATCTTTCCTTGACCCCCTGACGTTTGGTCAAGGAACAGTGGTTAGGAATAGGGGATAGGAATAGTGGACAGAAATAGTGGATAGGAATAGTGGATAGGAATAGTGGATAGGAATAGTGGACAGAAATAGTGGATAGGAATAGTGGATAGGAATAGTGGATAGGAATAGTGGACAGAAATAGTGGATAGGAATAGTGGATGGGAATAGTGGATAGAAATAGTGGATGGGAATAGTGGATAGGAATAGTGGATAGGAATAGTGGATGGGAATAGTGGATAGGAATAGGGGACAGGAATAGTGGATAGGAAGAGGGGATAGGAATAGTGGATAGGACTAGTGGATGGGAATAGTGGATAGGAATAGTGGACAGGAAGAGGGGATAGGAATAGTGGATAGGAATAGGGGACAGGAAGAGGGGATAGGAATAGTGGATAGGAATAGGGGACAGGAAGAGGGTCTGTGGGGGTTCGGTTCTGTCTCACAGTTCGGTTCTGTGTCACATGATGGTCACAAGCATCCAATGCTGACTCATGAGAGGAAATTACCCACAAAAACAGGAGAACCAGGGAAAGCATGGAGGTGTGTGTTTAGACTGTCATAATAAAATGTGTACATTTTAAACATTATGGTTAACGATGGGAAAAAAACCTACATCAAATCTGACGAGATTTATTCATCTGTTCATGAAATAAAGAACTTTGTCATCGAAGCACTTTTGTCAAAAAACGTAAAACATTATTGAAAATGACCTCATTTTCTGAGGGAGGAGCCTGAAAGACGAAGTATTAAATAAATAGTTGTCATGGTGACGTGACATCATCTTCACACCATTTAATATTTAATATATCTATATATATATGTGTCCCGGAGCTCAGCGGGGGGCTTATTGATTAAGACTGACGTATCCATTCATGCTTCATAGTCACACGCCATGTGGGAGGAACACACTATTTCACCCAAGGATGCTGAGTGGACATTTGTTCTACTATTACACTTTTTGCATTAACTTTATTTAGTTATTACTATTATTTTATTCATTCAAAGTAAAAAATGACCATAATGGAAGTTGTTAATCTATAAATGAGAACAGGAAGAAGCAGCAGAGAATTAACTTTTGAGCATTTGCATTTATTTTGGAACAAATGTGATGCGTCATAAAGCGGAACGTTCATTGCAGACGGGGGGATGAATGCATATCGCATACAAAATATGTACTCATTGATTTAGTTAATATTGAACGGTGTACATTAACAAATGGTATCGCATTGATCAAATAAAACGATTCCTATCCGTTGCCTGCATTGATTCCTCTCCCTTCTGTTCAGGCATGAATGTGTACGAACACACTGGGCAGAAGGAACAAACAAGACTTCATAGGGACACAGGCTGCACATGGTGGCTCGTTTCCGTGGTGATCAATAACCCACCAGCAGGACTAAAGAGCCACGTGAGGCACAGAGAGCCGGGGGCCGCGTTTGCTGTCAGGTTATTGTTAGAATTCCATATTACAGACGACTTGATCAATCAAAATAGATTTTGTATTTATTACAAAAATATATCGAACACATTTTCTTTCCATTCTGCCCTGCTGACGTGTTTTCCCCTCTTTGTGAAAATGTTGCACAAAGACCCCGGTTACACAGCTGGCATGTTAGAGACGTCACCAAACGCAGCGTCAACATTTCCCCCAGCAGCTGATCATTAACTAAATTCCACAGGGCGGCGCCTATGTGGCCCCCATGTGCACCTCATGTCAGATAAAGATCGCTCCAGATTCCCTGGAGGCCCTCTGGGGTCACCGTGGGGACTGAACCGCTCTTTGGTTGAGGAGGAGCAGTTTCAGCATCACTTATTCATCCTCCCTTTGATTTGGTCCTTACATGTGCAGGAGGTGAACTCAGCACTTTTGAAGGAAGCTTGCAGTCTGGGTATTTAAGTGCCTCTTGGATGCGGACAGCAGTCTCTCATGTATTGATTCCTTCATGCGGTCAGTGCGTTTTAGCCGAACACTGGGACACTCGGCCCCCGTCAGCTGGTCGTGTATTTGGCAACAGGCCAGCAGAAATACCACTAAAAACCTGACAGCACTCTTAAAAGTTGAAATAGAAGAAGACAGTAATTAACTGCTCTGCTTAAAGCCCAATAAACAGAAAATGAATATGCTCTTTTTCAGCATTGAGATTGGTCACTAGTGTCTCTCCGAGTGCACTTGGAGGACATGTGGTGTCTTGATGAATGATTAGTCCCTTTCACATTGTCCGTACTTCACCGCCCCGTCAGGTGACCTGGGCCGGCTGCAGGAGGCTCCTCGCCCTCACGAAGCCTTCTTGGTGCACGTTCCTGGAGTCTCCTGTAGGTTCACCTTGGATCTACAGGCGGAACAGTTGCATCCGGTTATTGATTCTTTAGTTCATTAAAGAGTCTGCACGCTGTGACGGGTGTGCTAAGTGCTCATAGCTGTGTGAACCATAAAGAAATGCACTTAGTTTAAGTGCTGCATCCACCTACAAGGAAATAAATAGATAAGCTCCCTAAAGTTTGAAATGCTACAAAAAGTACACGAATCGTACCTAAATGTTCCTTCAATAGTCGTAGAGGAAGCCAGCTATCGGCAGATTTATTCGCTTTGATTTCCAAAGAGGATTTCAGACGTCTGAAACCAGCACCTGGTTGGTCCACTCTGGGCGACTGTAGGAGCCGTTTGCTCTCACCTGTTGTGCGTCATGTGACTCTTGACCAGGTGGCCGGCGGTCAGAGCAGCCATGAGCGAGAGCTCCCCAGCCAGCACGGTGGCACACACGACCCGGGCCAGCTGCCGGGCGTTCTCCCCCGGACAGTCCTGACAGGCTCCCTGCACGCCCAGCATCTACACACACACACACACACACACACACACCTCAGGAAGTCAGCTGCACTCATTGCGATACATCAGTTGTATTTGTTCATTTAGGGTGTGATGTCTGCATGTGATAAACTGCTTGTTCCTCCTCACTGAGAGCAAAACACTCGACTAGATCTCCACTCTTTGCTGTCCTGCTCCTAAATGGTGGAAGGAGGTCTCTGAAGACATCAGGACCACAGAGAGCCTTCACATCTTCAGACTAAAGACACACCTCTTCACACTCTACCTCCACTAACACACTAACTGTAGCACTTAAACTGGACTTATGATGGTTCTTATCTACAGCAAGTTGTACATCGGCTTATTTGATGAAATCTCACTTTCTTGTTTCTTGTTGAGTTTGTGTCCTTATGGATGAAATGTTCTTATTGTAAGTCGCTTTGGATAAAAGCTGCTAAATGACATGTGATGCAATGTGTGTGTGTGTGTACCTGGAGGCAGGCTTGCTGGGGGGGCAGGCTGGTGCCCCCTCCTACGGTGCCCAGCTCTATGGAGGGCATGGTGCAGCTGATGTACAGGTCCTCCCCCGTGGGCCCCGATGCCTCCATCAGGGTGATGCAGTTGCTGCTGCCCACCGACTGGGCCGGATCCTGGAGGACACACACGCACACGCACACACACACACACACACACACACGCACACGCACACACACACACACACACACACACACACACACACACACACACACACACACACACGTACGTGTTATGAACCGGGAAGACGACGTCGGGGAAGAGAAGCAGGACAGCACTACTGTACCTGTCCACAGGCGATGTAGATGGCCGCCACCAGGTTGGCCGCGTGAGCGTTGAATCCGCCGATGCTGCCCGCCATGGCTGAGCCCACCAGGTTCTTGCTGATGTTCACCTCCACCAGAGCCGCCGTGGACGTCTTCAGCACCTGCACGCAGGTATGAAAGCAGTATGTTCAGACGACTGCCTTTTGTGTGTCTGTGCGGTGCATAGAGCCAGACCCCACGCCAGGGTTCTCTCACGCAGACCCCTGTTCACCCTCCGCCACGCTCCTCCTACCTCTCGGACCACTTTGGCGGGGATGGTGGCCTCGCAGACGGCGGACTTGCCCCGGCCCTCGATCCAGTTGATGGCCGCTGGCTTCTTGTCGGTGCAGTAGTTCCCGCTGACGGCCATCACCTGCAGCTCAGGGAAGTGTTGCTGCAGCGTGTGCAGCGCCTGCTCGGTTCCCTGCAGGCAGACCCTCAAGCTTCAGCACGTTGGGGATGTGAGGACGTAAACAACACACATGGCGCACGCGCTTACCTTAGAGATCATGTTCATCCCCATGGCGTCCCCAGTCTTGGAGTGGAAGCGGATGTAGAGATTTCTCCCAGCCAGACCGACCAGCAGCTTCTGGAGCCGCGCAAACCTGCCAACAGCGAGCACAGGCGCTTTGTAGCAGAGCCGCGAGGCCGCGCTCAGCGCGGTGGCGCCCGCCGGCTGCACGCCCTACCTGCTGGTGTTGTCAAACGCCTCTTTGATCTCCTGGAAACCGTCGGTGCTCTCCAGCCACGCCTTGACCTCCGCGGCCTGGCAGGCGGAGGGCAGCCGGACCACGGGCCCTCGGGTCATGCTGTCGGCTAGGATACGACACTTGGCTCCGCCTCCCAGCTGCACATTAACACGCAATAACATCTGGATCAAAAGAAGCTTCCTTTTCTGAAACACTATCACGGAGAAGGAATCGTCTTTGTCGGGGACTCATGATCCGACCGCCCACCTGCTGTGAAACATGGACCACCTTGTGATTGACAGGTCAACTGTAACTCACAGCGATTGCTCGACATCCGCGGTTGGTGCTGGCAACCAAGCAGCCTTCTGTGGTTGCCATGGGAACCTGGAACTGCTTCCCATCCAGATGCAGGGGCCCAGCCACACCTACTGGTACGGGAATGTAGCCAATCACATTCTCACAGCAGGTGCCCATAACCTGGAAACCAGAAATGATGTCAAACAGGAAGCAGGGTGTGTGTGTGTGTGTGTGTGCGTGTGTGTTTCCTCACCTTGGAGTAATCGTAGTCAGCGTACGGCAGGCTGGACAGCGCGGAGGGGGAGGGCAGCTTGGCGGCGATCATCTGTCTACGTATGGCCACGCCCCTCTCTGCTTTCTCCATCATGGCCTCCAGTTTGTACGCCGGGATGTGCTTGGAGTTCACCAGCTGCACCACCTCAGCGTCACTCAGGAAACGGGCCCCCAGCTGCAACAGCCAGGCAAACATGTCCCGTTATCACGTCAACAGTTTGTGTCCTGTGGAGCTGTAATCAGAAGGGCCGTCCCAGGGGTGACTAAGCTCATTAGGGCGCCGCTAAATCACACAACTGCCTCCAGGCGGCAATCGCATTAGTGGACAGGACAGCTAAGTGCGGGCGATGATGTCACCCTCAGGTTAGCCGACTTATCGGCCTCACCTCGGGGTTGTTGATGATGGCCACACACGCGTCCAGGTCTCTGGGCCCCGGCAGGACGCTCGGCTGCTCCTCCTCAGCCTCCCGCTCCTCGTCCCCCTCCACGAAGAAGCTCTTTGGCTGTGGCCCCGCGGCCGGGGCGGACAGGGGGCGGATGACCTCATCTGGGGGGACAAGGCAGAGCTGGAGAGCACACTTCCACACAAGCCCTTCTGCCACGGCGCCGGCGCCCGACGCACCTCTCTCTGACTCGATGGTGGGCGCCGGGGCGGGGGAGAGGGCCCGGGGGGGACACGCCTCCTTCCTGCAGCAGGTGTCGGCGGGCCGCCGCGGGGTCAGGGGCGGGGCGGACATGGTGATGGGGTTCTTCAGCGACAGAGTGGACTCCATCTCGGCCTGCTCGAAGAAGATGTACTTGATAGCCAGCAGCAGGGCCAGGGCGAGGCAGACCACCTGCTCCACGTCCATGGTGATCATCCTGCAGGAGGGGGGCAACATGAGGCTGCTAGCAGAGGCCCATAATGGACCCTATGTGACACGGCGTGTCTGTGCACGGTGGCTTAAGGAGCTCACCTGGCGAGGTAGAAGTGCCACAGCGGTTTCTCTGGCTCGATCCTCCGGGGCAGGAGGTGGTCCAGCTCCATGCCGACCTGAGGGACGCCCACCGTGGTGTTGATGGACAGGGGCTCAGAGATCCACGCGGCTGTGGGCGTGCACCATCACCAGGCCCAGGGACTGCAGCAGGGCGCACGTGAGGGGTCACGCTCGGGTCGAGGTGAAACAAAGGGAGGGCTAAAGGAGCGGCGGTGTTACCATGATCATCTTGACTCTCTGGGTCACCGGGTTGGGTTTGTTGTCCTCCTCCTCCTCCAGGACCCTGGAGAAGTGGCTGAGCTGCCAGATGGGATGACCCTCCTGGCTCTCACGGGACAACTGCATAGGAGGACAAGAACACGGACATCAACACACACACACACACACACACACAGAACACTACATAAACTGCACGCTTACCTCCAGCACGAGTGAGACACACGCCGGGAAAAACGTCATGAAGACAAAGTAGTTGGCCAAGACCGACATGCAGCCAAAGCAGCACATGATTTCCAACTGCCGCACCCCTGAAAGACACAAGACAGAACCGTCAGGCCCCACAGCAGGAGGCCCTCCCCATGCAGACAACACAGGCAGCTGCCCAAAAGGTCACGCTCTGTCAGGTGCTCTGTGGAGAGGAAGGACCAACGCCCTGCAGCTGCTGCTCCTTCAGAGGGTCGGAGCCACGTGGCGCCATCCTTCTTTCTGCTTGACGTTTATGAGCGGACAGCGGCAGCGAGTACCTGACATGGTTCCCACTCCGATCACCAAGCACTCCACCAGGGCGTCCAGGGTGAAGGTGGGGCCCAGCACCGACATGCCCCGAGCAATGTTGTCCCTCACTTCATCCTGAAGCAGAGCACAAGAAGCTAGTCAGCGCTGCGGCGGGTTCCATGTCGCACGTGGGCACTGTGATGATGACGACGGCGATCTTCTTCACACCTGAGAACCGGAGCTCAGGGCGAACTTGGCCAGGGCGCACGCTTTGGACAGGTCGATGAGAAGCAGGAAGAAGGGCAGCGCCTCGCTGCAGGAAACAGAGCAGAGCCATCAGCTGGAGCCGGTCCGCAAACACGCCGGCGAGACGAGGACCGTGCGCTTCGCTTACTTGAGTCCCGTCAGCTCTTTATCCAGGAAGTGAATGACCACGGTGCTGAAGACAAAACTGGAGAATATGGTGAAAAGGCCAGCGATGCCTACGGGAGAGCAGAGGGGGACAGTCAGAGACCTGCCTCCTGTACACGCTGGGTGCGCCCGGTCACGTCTTACCTAGTATGTACTTGGACCCCAGCTGTCTCAAGTTCTGGAACTGGAAGTAAATGTAGACGATGGCAATGCAGCGTGTGATGGTCAGGATGATGATGTCACTGCTCAGAATTTGCTGTGAAAAGAGGGAAATGAGAGCAGGGACATATTTACTAGGTTGGTCATGACAACAGCGTTATATTATAACGATAAGCGCGTTAGACTGAGACGACAAACTGTTATAACAAAGTGATGTTAATCAGAGATAGAAGCTGTGGTAAGTCGGGCTGCTCGGGTCTACATCGTCTCACTTATTCCCATGATGCTTTGCGTCTTCTACCTTCTGTAACACCTTTGGTTCAAGGTTTCCTTGGAATCATTCACATACGATGGAGCGGGACCGTGCTCCACGCCGCCACGTGCGTCCTCTCGTCCACTCACCTCCTCGGTTTTGGGGCAGTCGAAGTTCCAGCCACAGATCTGGTCGTTGCCGGTGAACATGTTCATGGACATCATGCAGATGGTGAGGGTGACGGTGCCCACGATGACCTCCCAGGGGTGGGAGGCCACCAGGTGGCCGTGCACACGGAACAGACCGGTCAGCATGTCGCTGGGCGGGTTCAGGGATCCTAGAAGTCAATCATGACGTGTGATGACGGGCGTTTACAGGAGTGCTCCTATTCTCTGCTGCTTTACCCTCAACATTCCTGTCATTTCTTCCACGCAGATGATGTCAGAGGGGTTTTTCTATTTTGAGGTTTGTCAAAAACCGAGAGACAAACCAGTTCCACGTCCTACCAACTGGAGACAAAGAATCCTACGCGTCACATGCAGGATTAATATGTTGGACATCTGCCAGAGCAGGAAACGATCTCCAACCGCGTTAGATGTGGGATCGGACGCATTAAACCACTTTAAAAACGTTGCATTCACACTATTTGGAATTTTTAATCTCCCAAATCCAACAAAGCTCCTCTGTGATATTTTAAACAACGATCCTTCCTCCATAGTTACTTAGAGCTGACTGATAAACTGTTAAACACCCATCAGCGCTCAGCTGACATGTCACAGGTGACCCGTGATGACGCACATCCACTGGGACGGGTCGCATCCCGGCGGTTAACCGGTATCGGCTTCACGGCCCAGCACGACGGAGCCGGAGCGGCTGGACCGACACATTACAGACGTGCTAACGGACACAACAAGAGCCGCGCTCCTCTTACCTTGTGGGTGAGAGCGGCGGTGGAAGAGAGAGCGGAAGAGAGAGCTGCCTGCGGGGGTTAAGCGCAGACGGGCGGGCGGTGGGACCATGGCACGCTGCTACGTCATCCGAGCCTTCAGCCAATCGCGTCGGCCACCTGCTCCGCGGGGCACACGGGCCACGCCCCCGTTTCCTCGGCCACAGGGGCAGGGGGCGTGGCTACAGGAGGACGCCTCATCTCGCCACCGCGCGCACACGCTGCAGTTTGCACAGGGAGCCAATAGCGTTTGAGGGAGTGAACTGTCGCTGTTTTATAGACCAGTTTTTAAATATATGAATCTCGCTGTCTTCCGTTGCGCTTTGTCACGTATCGTTGCGTTTGTCTTTTTAGACGTTTACACCTTTACTTTTTAAGCATATTTCACACTGTATTTATTATTGCGCATAGGTTACATATTTTGATTATAACATTGAGGAATAGTACAGATATGGGTTATAGGTGTGGATAAATGGACATGAGGCGTATGGTTCTTCTTGAGAATGCAAACCTGTTTGTTTAGATGGAAATCATTACATTATTACATGTCCTTTAGGAGACGTTCATTGCATTGCATCCAACCCTCCCACACAGCGGGAGCACTCGGGGGTCGGGGGTCCTGCTCTGGAGCAGCAAAGGTTCGGTTTGCAAATCGTGCGGTTCCACCCAGTGAGGCCCTCGTCTATGTTGCTGCATGGGGATCATAAGCTTTAGTTTTCAGATTGGACATACAGACGTGTTTTAACATACTTATCTGTTTATATTGTTAATTCTTGCTTGCGTATATTTTAAGCTTATATTGCACCAATGCACCGAGTCAAATTCCTCCTTCCTGTAACATATGTGCCAATAAATGGCGTCTGATTCTATTTTTGGTTTAGAGGCTTTACATTTTCACAACATCTGTATGCACATTTTCTCGCAACAAAGCTCCAAAGAAAGTAACTTTAAATCAACATTGCTTGCATACACTTGCTTCATGCTCATCGCTTCTGTTTGTTCACAACGTAAAGACGCTAATAAAATCTGAGAGATTGAGGTTCAAGGCTAAATCAATTGTTCAGTAACTGGAGCTGATCCACAAAGGTCGCACCTGCCTGCACACATGATCGGGTTTAAAACAAACACAAACCTTTATTCATCTTTATCATTAACTATCCCTGTAAAAAAAAAGAATAGACTGCCTGTTTCTCAATTTGTTCTTAAGTTCTCCCTAGTGAGGTTCCTGCTGTTTGACTATAAATATAAGCGATGATATTTGAATGAGTTGTTGGACATACATCATAATGATTGTAAGTGGGAAATACGTATATATAACCCTATTTAAGAATGCTTTTAGAGTGACATGGATCATTTGAAAAGGATTTGATTCATTGACAATCATTCCTCAGGTTCTACCTGCACACTGGATAAGAGCGCTGGTCCCATGAAGCCTGTTTAAGGGTCTTTACTCAATAGGTTATTTGAAGAAAAGATTAACAATCAATATATTCAGGCCTTTTTCTGTCACGACCCGGCAGAACACAGGACACAGACGCAGGGTTGTCATGGGATTTGTAGTCTTTAAGACTGAATCTCTCCAAGGCAGAGAAAAGAAATACGACTATCAAAATGACTCACTTCCTCCAAGTGAGGCTACACAAATGATCAAACAAAAGTTTCTCCGCTCTAGGAGGAAAAACAAAAGACTTTCGACTTTATCAAAATAGCGGGTGCAGCACTCTTTCGACTATGAAAGATTATCTAAACAAAAATCACTCCTTACGGAGGAAACAAAAGACGATGAAAACTTTAACCATTCATTTAAATCTATATGCTACAAAATCTTACAAAATCAAAATAACTCTCTTGGAGGAAAACAACGGAGCAGAACGCAATGACATGGTTTCCAAGGCTATGCCTTGGGATCAATGGCTTGATATCTATGGCTTGGG